CTCTGCTTCGAAATTTCTCTGGATCAAAATTTCTCTGCTTCAAAATTTTTCTGTAAAAATTTGAGGGACCCCAACTATTATAAAAATATTTCATGTCATTTATGCTATAAAATCTTAATATGAGAGACCTTAAATTTTTTTTTCTATTTTTTTAAATAATTTTGTGAACACATTAATTCTTAAATAATCGAAAAATCAGAAACTCATTAAAAAAAAGAAAAGAAAACCCAACATCCACAGAAAAAAAATTTGTAACATAAAACACGATCAACCATTTCAACTATATTCATGCATAAAACTCCATTACCAGTTTTTGCCATGTCAACAGTACAGTGTTCGTTGGCATTCAGGAGCTAATTCAAAGTCTCTGATTTTGTGAATGGAATAGAACAGTGATGATGATAGATGATGCATTTAGGCCTATTTTGGCAATTTGGAAAAAAATTAGTTTTTCGACTTATTAATTTATTTGGATCACATTAGTTTTCTATTTTTTTTTATATATTTTTTTAAAAATAAAAATAAAAAAAGCCATCAAGTTGGCTTTATAAACCTTTTATTTCATTTGGGTTATTTCATTTGGGGTAAATCACCAATTTTTTGCAATATTTATGCATATTGATTTGTCAAAGTCAACAATAATTTAGCGTAATTTATTGAATCACCATGCGAATGCGATGATTCACTCACACAGCACCCAATTATGAAGAAAACTATGAACTTTTTCGCATCTCTGCTTGTCTATGTTTTTTTTCCAGAAGTTTTTGAATCAGATTTGAGCACTAATTAATAAGTAATCTCTCTCACATTGTGATAGTCATGATTGAATTAGTGGAAAGCAAACTTGTTTGGTTTGGAATTTCAAACACTTTTATGAGTTTTTAATCGTATTTTATAAATTATTTTTAGTTTTTAAATATATTTAAATTTAAATATGGATAAATTACACTTTGTCCCTTCTAAAATTTCACCCATTTTTCATTTTGGTCTTTTAAGTTTAATTTTTCTTATTTTGGCCCTTCATATTTGTAATCTTTCCCACTATAGTCCTTTAAGTTTAATTTTTAATCTTTCCCACTATAGTCCTTTAAGTTTAATTTTTTCCACTTTAGCCCTTTATGTTTGCAATCCATCCCACTTTGACCTTTCATATTTGCAATCCTTCTCACTTTATTCCTAGACTAACTTCAATCTAGAAAACTAATAGAATCTGCCACATCACTAACACATCAGCTCCATGTGTGATGTAAAAAATTCACTAAAGATTCAAAAAATTAAAAATAGTGAATTTTTTTTTTAGTCTTTAGTGAATTTTTTTTTCAAATTTATTTATAAACATTATTACATTATGGATGCATCTAGATTAGATGCAACTAAAAAAATAAAAACAAATTTAACTAAAAAAAGAAAATAGTTTACTAAAGACAAAAAAAAATGAAAAATACTGACTCAAACATCTGTATTGTCAATTTAGAAATGAAAAATTTACTATCGTTTTTTTTCGTCTTTAGTGAACATTTTCCTTTTTTTTTAGTTAAATTTGTTTTTATTTTTTTAGCTGCATCTAATTTAGATGCATCTATAATGTAATAATGTTTATGAATAAATTTGAAAAAAAAAGTTCACTAAAGATTAAAAAAAATTCTCATTTTTTTTATTTTTATTTTTTGCATCTTTAGTAAATTTTTACATCACATATGGAGTTGATGTGTTAGTGACGTGACAAATCTTGTTACTTTTTTGGATGGAAGTTAGTCTAGGAATAAAGTGAGAAAGATTGCAAATATGAAGGGCCAAAGTGATAAGGATTACAAACATGAAGGGCTAAAGTCGGAAAAATCAAACTTAAAAGGCCAAAGTGGGAAGGATTATGAAAGACCAAAGTGGGAAGGATTGTAAACATGGAGGGCCAAAGTGAAAAAAATCAAACTTAAAGGCCAAGGTGGGAAATGGGTGAAACTTTAGGGGGCAAAGTGTAATTTACCTTTTAAATATATACTTCTAGAATGTACAAAAATTGTGCAAAAGTCTTTCAAAAATTTATTGAATAAAAAAAATACAAAAATACAAGAATTTAAAATATTTTTATATTTTGTTATATTTAATGATTTTTTTTAAAAAAATAAATTTTGTAATTTTTAAGTGTATTAAAAAATCAAAAAAATGATTAAAATGTTAAAAAAATTATTAAAAAAAATGAATTGAAAACTCATAAATACAAAAATTTAGTATATTTTTATATTTTGTTGTATTCAATGAATTGTTTTTAAAAAATAAATTTTGTACTTTTTAAGTGTATTAAAAAATAAAAATTGATTAAAATGTTAAAGAAAATTCATTAAAAAAAAAAAAAAAACTAATTGAAAACTCATAAATTTAATTTTAAAAACTTCAGAATAAACAAAGTGATGTCTCAACCAAATTCATTTGTAATCTTCTATTAATTATTGCCCTTGTGTATATGAAAAAGAAATTGCCTAAGTTGACAAATGTGGAATTTCCCCAAGAATGGAAAAAAATAGGTGTGGATCTGTCAAAGAAGTTGGCAGAACTCTATTATTGATCTTCTTCAGTTACAGATGATGGCATTTGATTGTTTGCCACAAATCTCATCAATACTCAATACAGAAATTAAAAAGAGAGAGAGTGTTAAAAAATTGTCATAAAATTAAGTTCATAGTTTTTTTTATGAATACAAAATCAAATATATAAAGGATTAATTACACTAAGACACCTCTACTATTAGCCTATATCACTTTATTCCCTCATTTATGAACTTGTACATATTGACCTCTTCAATTATAAAATTATATAAATATATGTCTTTTGGAGGTGGTAGAGATGGGGTTTACCGGGGTAGTTGAGTGGGTCAAAATGTATACATGTTTGTAGATGAGGGAGGAAAAGTGATATTCTAATAGTTGAGGGGTCTTGATGTAAATAACATATACATAAATGAATACAAAATATACTTGAATAAATAAGATTTTATAAAATTGTTGATGGCACCCTCTTTAAAAAAAATGTATTTTTTTCTATATAATCAGTAACTAGTTACTGTGTTTTTAGTCATATTCTTGCATGTATAAAACTTAGTAGATGATAGACAATGACATTAAATGCTCGTCAATGCCTTTACCTTGCCCTTACAAGTTACTAAAATAAAAAAAATAAAAAAAAATAAAAAAATAGAGAGAGATGTTAAAGAATTGGCAAATTAATTACCAAACGAAGATGAAATGGAAATATCATTATCTTCTTTGCTTGGTAAAAAACTGGTGTAAAAATATTGAAGTTGTGCTTGTATATGATGAATAGAATCATGCAACTTTTCCATACTATCCTCCTCATCACTTTTGGGTACATCCAATAAAATATGTTATTTTTTTACCCATTGATTGATTGATTAATGCCTCAGACCTCCACTGGGGTGACCCTAGGGCCTCCAGTGGGGTGTGATCGGTCTATTTTTTTTTTTTTGATCCAATGACCAACCCCCACGCGTGTGTGGGGGGTGATAGGGTTGCTTGGAGACGGGTTTTCAAGCACAACTCTGATTGATTTTTCAAAGAAGATAGTTATGACTGCCAAGTAATGTACCAACAGTCTCCTGAGATCTTACAAGAATATGTGGCCTAAATACACCAACCATCAATTGTTATTTTACACTGTAGGATAAAACATCAATATAAAAAGTCATTCATGTTAGGGAATCGGAACCCACAAGCACATAACAATACCGACCTAATCCATTAGGGAGAAACTTCAGAGTCCATAGACGTCATATCAATGCCCAGGATACATTATTTAAAACTCATACCTACTTAAAAACTTAAGCCTATAAGTGGAGAGCTTATCCAATGTATATTAACATCCATCTCTTTTACTTTTTATCTAATGTGGGACTCTACCTTCACACATGCTTCAACAATCTCCTCCTCATGTGTGAACCAAATATCGAGTCTCGCCTTGCTCCCCTTCGAGTCTGATCTATTATTAGCAGGTTTATTATAGATCATATGCACTCTCCTTAATCTTGATTTATAACTATCCAACATCGAGTCTAACTTGGGCCACCTCCACACACTCCATCGTGAGCAACCATACTCCATTGAGAGCCACCATACTCCATTGAGAGCCATCTTGTTGCGGTCCAACTTTGCCACGTGTACTAGGAAAGTCCAACCTTGCCACGTGTACCAGGAATTTTCTTTGCTCCATCAAGAGTTGTCATGAATTTTTCTTGCTCCATTAAGAGTCTTCGTGCAAACCCAAGGCCAACAACATCAATGCTCCAGGAGAGCCTGTCCATAGATCATCTACCATTGGTTCTGATACTAATTGTTAGGAAATTAGGAAGCCCACAAGTGCATAATAATACCGACCCAATCCATCAGGGAGAAACTTCAGAGTCCATAGACGCCATATCAAGGCTCAACATACATTATTTAGAACTCATACCCACTTAAAAACTTAAGCCTACAAGTGGAGAGCCCATCTAATGTATATTAAGACTCATCTCTTTTACTCTTTATTCGAGTCCAACAATTCATCTACTTTACGAACCAATCACATTCAAAAAATGTACCACATGATAAATACCCTACCAGGACCCAAAAACTTGTCCTAATTTTCCTTTCTCTTGGCATTCATTTTCTTAGTAATAAAGTTCGTATTTCAAAATTCCTTTTGCTCTTCTACAATCAATCAAGGAATATCATCATTAAGATTGCTTAAAAACTTCTACAATCAATCAAGGAATATCATCATTAAGATTGCTTAAAAGTTTTATTATAGTTTAAAACACTATGAAGATGACATTAAAATCATGTAGGTTGTCCCATCCATTCTATAGTTTTCACAAGTCAATCTCAACATATATCTGCCACCTCACAACTACAGACAAAGCAACAACAACATGCCAAATAGAAAGGGAGTTTGCCTTGTACAATTTTTACTATTGTTTCTTTTCAACTAGAGAATTCATAGAACAGAGCTAATGTTGGAGTAGGAAGCCATTTTTGATCACATTATGCTTCATTTTCTCAAATAGTCATCAGATCATAATCATGATGAGAAAGAGTTTTTCTTTTTTTTTTTCCTGAGCAGACTGTATTTGAAATACACCTCACAAACCTCCATCAAATGGGGATTAAACTGGGCGAACTATTTTCAGACAATATTTCCATAACTTAGAAAATACATACTCTAAAATGGAGCATACGGGCGGGAAAGTAAAGAAACAAAAAGGGGAAACAGGGAAAAAAAGAAAAATTATACCAGTTCAAAACATTTTATGTAAATTATGTACATGACTGAAAATCTTCTCAGTTTGTGCTCATGTCTGTGTATGTGCCATCATTTTGTAGATGGCAAAGAAGGCCCTTGTGACTCCACTAGAATTGACCACAACACATGCACATCTTCACAGGGGCAGGACTTGACATCCTCATATAGAATGTATATCCCTCTGCCTGTTACATGATCATCAAAATGCAGTTAGGTGTAAAGTATACAAATGGAGCAAAATTTTCTAAAATGTGTGTGTGAGTGAGAGAGAGAGAGAGAGGGAGACAGAGAGAGTTTAAACAAAATAATTTAGGACCTAATGATAAAATAAAGACAATGCAGATTTATAGGTACTAATCCGCCCTGCTTTAAACTTCACAAATTCTTGTTATGTTGTATATATTTTTTAATTTTGAATGAAATATTCATAATATGGCATATAATAAATGTATAAAATCATATATTTTTTGTGTGTTCCCTACATGCCATGTGCTGCATTTTTTTTTTTTGGAAATTATCATGTCGTGTGTCACTTGTCCGTGCTTCTTTAGTCTGAGGCAATGTATAGTTGGACAAAGCATTGAAATAGAGATTCTCAACTTCAGCTAGAAACTAAGTGATTTTTGAAGATTTGATTGAACACATTTTGTGTTCTTGTTATAGTAATGGAAAAACAAAAGGAAAATGAAGCATAATGGTGAGAAGGGAAATTGATCTTTGTAGTGTTTTTTCAACTAGAAAACAATTAGACAAACTCAAGGAGAAGAACTATATGATAAATCATTACTTGAAAACTAAAATGTAGATATGAGAAAGTTTTTATTGGAGTCATTGAGTGCTTACTCTTCTTCTGAGCCGAGTGCATTCGAACCCAAAGCTTCTTCAATGGAGAGAAGAGGGACTGCAACCACCCCATTTGGAGAAGAAGAACAAGTGGGTGGTGTGGCTCATGGTAGGTGAGTGAGAGAATGGGGGTGGAAATAAGAGAAAGAGGTGAAGAGAGAGAAACTGCTGGTTTGCTTAGACAAGGGTGAAGTGAAGTTTAGGTCACTGTTTTTCTCTTAGAGACATTTTTACATTCACTTCCAGGGCAATCATGCAGATCACATTTTCTTCTTGGTGCAATGTCTCTTTCACACCTTTTTTCTCTTGTAGAAGAAGGAGCCACTTCACCAATCAGTAGTTCGATTTACACTTCCACAAAGCCATTTTATTCCCCTCCTCACAAACATATATATCCCTTGTTGTTGAAGCTATATATACATATGTTTTTTTTCTTTTTTTTCTCACTATTGTTTTGGGTTTGGGGTTCTTTTCCATTTTTGGGCCACCTCTTGTGCCTTAAGAAAACAGAACTCCCTTGAAAAGTCTTCCTCAAGTCTCATCTCCTATTGGTCCACTTGTACCATTAGGGTCTATGTGCTACATGGTCAAGAAGCCGTTTGGCACATGAGTTAGGGTGGGTTGGAGTTAAAATAGTCACAAAATGATAAAAATAAATTTTTTAGTCCCAAGTTAGAAATTATCACATTTAAAATATAATCATTTTTTATTTATTTATAAAAGTCAAAAAAGTTAAAAAATTTATTCTAAACGAGATTATTTTAAAATAGCCAAAAAGTTTTAAGACCAAAAGACAACCTACATCTCAAAATGTCAAAAAACCAAAAGAAAAATATTTCAGACCACTAATTCAACACTACCAATACACCACTAATAATTTGGCACCATGTGAGCCCCAACTAGTGATGTGATAGGCTAGCTTTTTTTTTTTTTTTTTTTTTTTCTTACATTGTCAGCTCTAATGAACTGGCATTAGTACTATTATTTTAGAGCACTGAATCAGTTGCTGAAACCAAAAAAATGATGTGGTGGGTTCCATCTGGAAATGTGAGCCCATTTTGGCTGGTTTTTATGGTTTATTTATGCGTCCGTAGCATTTTTGTATTATCAAAGTACTGCCTGGAATATGGTATTTTTGTTTTTTTGATTGGAAAAAAAAGGACTCTGAGGTGTCATCACGGCCTCGTGGGCCCTGACCCCGGGGTAACTGATTGTCAGCCAGAAATTAACTCCCACCAAGTGAGAGACCCACTACCAGAGCACTAATGGAGTGCAACCACACGCCCTAGCAAAGGACAGATTGTTGAGGGAAGTACATGGCGTGTTCTCTTGAAGAGATTTCAAACACCCCCTCTCAGAAATCGACTCTGACTCAGAGCATCTCCAACGCAAGAGCCAAAAGGGGAGAATTAGGCATTTTGCCTATTTGAAGTCAGATTTCGAAGCTCCAACGCGCTCTGCATCTGAGGAGGCATTTTGCCAATTCTCGTTTTGGCTCTCCACAGGTAGCCAGCATCCATTGCTAGGCAAAGCACTCTTCCCGCCATTGTGTTGGCCTCCATCGCTGCTTGTTCCATCTCTGTTCCAGCATGGTTGGAGATGCTCTCAGTGCTGGAAAATGCACTGCATTCTCCACCAGCCACCAACCATGGTGGTTACCTGGAATATGGTACTTGGCAAATAAAGATTTGACTGTTAAGGGAACTTGTTTTTGCAGTTGTATTGCTGGATACACAAATATGTATTTGCTAGGCAAGAAAAGAAGGGGGTATGATATGAGTGGGTGATTGAAAGACCATCTGGGACATTTCTAGAGGCCCGTAAAGATGATGTGGTAGTTGGAGCTTTTGATTAGAGATTTTGGTACTGACCTGAAATTTTTGTTTACCCTGAACTCCAAAGTAATTTAAAAAAGTGAAAAAGTCAAAAAAATTAAAAAGTTAAAAAGTAAAAAAATTATTATTTTATTTAAATCACATCATCTTATTTAAGTCACATCACCTTTCTATCACATCATTTCAAATCCAACCCATACCGAACCCATATTTCACAAAAAATCAAAAAGTATACTTATTTAGATCATCTCAAACCACCCCTAAATTTCATTTAGCTTCTTTGGTTTTAATTTTCAAAAAATTTTACTTTTATTTTTTTTGTATTTTGCTTTTGTTTTCAATGAATTTTTTTAATATTTTCAGTAATTTTTTTTTAAAATTTTTTAGACAAGCTTAACATAAATATACTTAAGAATTATAATATTTATGAAAAAAATCTTTAAGAAATTCACTAAATACCAAAAAAATACAAAAATTCAGTATGTTTTTCATATTTTTGTGTATTTATTAATTTTTAAAATATTTTTTCACAAATATTTTACTATTTAGATTCATCTAAATAATTGTGTATTTAAAAAAGTAAATAAATTACTTAAATTTTTAAAAATATTCACTAAAAATAAAAAATATGAAAAATAAAAAATTCAACTTCTAAAAAACTGAAAATAAACACATTAATTGACATTTGAGTGTAGATTTTATTTATTTATAAATTTTGGGGTGTGCCAGTATCGAGATGGTTGACTTGTTGGAAAAGTGATGTGCATATTGGAAAAGTCTTCCTTTTTTTTTTGAAGAAAGATCTGGTGAGAGGTTTTTGAAGAAATTGCAAAATCCCCAGTAGAAGATTAAAAAAAGAAGAAAAACATGGACTAACGTTATATTGATCAATCATAAACACTCAGAGAACCATATCCCTCTTTGCTCAACCTCTATCCAAAATATTGTATTTGTAAGGTGGAAATTCCATAAAATATACTGAAAAAAAATGATCGATTTAATACACAAGAATTCTGTTAAAGCAGGATGTGAGGAAGGCAATATGTATGTAATCTTACCCCTATTTTCAAAGGGGTTATTTTCGCGACTCAAATTTCCATCGCTTAGAACATTTGCAACAAATCTGATCACCCCAATAAAATATACTCAACATTGAAAACACTTGCAAGTTTTCCTGAATTTGGAAGGATATGCCTATTAAATATCAAAGTTGAAATACAAAGTCAATTTCCTAAGAAAATGGATATATATTCTGTGTTAGTGACAAGTCTTTTAAAATCAATAATAGTGGTGTATTGATGGTGGAAAAAGTTTAAACCTCTGGATCAAAGTTGCTGGAGGGATCACCGACAGATTTATTTAATTTATTTAATTTTTTTTTTTGGTGATAAATTGTACTTTTCACCTTTAAATTTTTATTTGAATTTTATTTGATCCCTCGCTTTCTGAATTGTAACAATTAAGTTTTTATATTTCAACTAATGTCTCAATCGAATTCCCTAGCTAACTCTCCGTTTGAAATTTGAGTGCATGTTAAGACATGAAAGATCAAAATGGATTTTGAATGAAAATTTGAGAGTGAATAGTATAGTTTTTGATACATTTTTTTTCCTCTAATGCCTCTAAAATATGCTTATGTGAGCATTTTTTGTTTAAAATTTTAATGGTTAGTAATGGGAGGACCTTATTGAAACATGAGTTAAATTTTAAAAATTTAATTGTTGCAATTAAAAAATGAGATATCAAAGTGAAATTCGATAAAAGTTTGATAGTGAAAAGTGCAATTGACCTTTTACCTTTTACCTCCTTCTTCTTCTTCTTCTTCTTTTTTTTTTTTTGAGAACATGAGAAACATTATATTTATAATGTTAGGAATTGATCCTTCCTAACCAAGATCGGTGAGATATGAAATAACAAACAAGAAAGAAATTAGCGAATCAAACAAATCACACATACAAGAATACAAAGATTTACGTGATTCACCCCAAAATATGGTTACGTCACTGCTGCTGCGGTTTTTACTATGATCAGAAAAATACAATTCTCTCTTAACCTAAAAGAGGCGCCCCCTCATCTATTTATAAGTATAAAATTAGGATTACACAGAAACATAAGGAAATTCTTTCTTGGGGGAGGCTCCAAAAGTACCCAAAAAATTTCAGCCTCCTCTCCCTTGGGGGAGGCTCCCTCAAACCTTCTATTAGACCTAGGATTTGAGTGAACAGTAGGGTCGAGTGAACAGTACTTATCAGGGTCCACCGACCTAACAATCTTCTACGTGGAACCTGATAACACAAGCTCTCCATCATCTTCATCACATAAAGGAATGCTGCAACAACTCAATCTTCCTTCATCAATCTTGAAGGTCAACTGAAGTTGCACACAACTTCAGTTTGTCAATGGTGACTGTCTTGGTCAACATATCTGCTGGATTTTTACTGCCTTGGATCTTCTCAAGAGACAAGACTCCATCATTTACAAGTGAACGAATAAAATGGTATCGCAGCTGAATGTGTTTCGTCCTAGAATGAAAAGCCAGATTCTTTGCAAGATGAATAGCACTTTGACTGTCACTATGCAAAATACTCATCTCTTGCGTCTTACCCAACTCCAGTAAGAAATTTTGTAACCAAGTCATCTCCTTCCCAGCTTCAGCAATAGTAACATACTCAGCCTCTGCTGTAGAAAGGGCCACAATCTTCTGTGACGGTGAAATCCAATTCACTACTGTACCATCCAATGTGTAAACATAACCGGTAGTACTCTTTCTGTTATCCATATCACCAGTCAAGTCTGCATCAACATAACCCTGTAACCTGATGCCGGTTCATCTGAAACAATGTGCCATGTTTGTAGTACCACTCAAGTATCTAAGGATCCACTTCACTGCCTCCCAATGTTGTTTGCCTAGATTACTCATGTACCCATTAACCACTCCCACTGCATGCGCAATGTCTGGTCTAGTACAAACCATAGCATACATTATGCTACTGATAGCTGAAGCATATGGAACATGTTCCATATAAGCCTGCTCTTCTTCGGTCTTCGGAGACTGCTCTTTGGTAAGTCTGAAGTGGTTAGCCAATGAAGTGCTCAATGGTTTGCACCATCCATGCTAAACCTCTTAAGAACTTTCTTGACATACTCAGCCTGTGACAAATTCAAAGTATCATTTGCCTTGTTCCTGTGAATCCTCATACCAAGGATTTTGTTTGCAACTCCAAGATCCATCATCTCAAATTGGTTGGACAAATTTTTCTTCAATCCTTTTATCTCTTAAATACTAGATTCTGCGATAAGCATATCATCAACATATAAAAGCAAAATAATATAAATTTTGTCAAACCTCTTGAAATAACAACAATGATCTACTTGACATCTTGTAAAACCGCTTCTATACATAAACCCATCAAACTTTTTGTACCACTGCCTTGGGGCCTGTTTCAAACCATATAAGCTTTTTCAAAGATTTCATATAAACTCCTCTTTGCCACGTGCCAAGAAACCTTGTGGTTGCTTCATATAAATTTCTTCCCCCAAATCACTATGGAGAAAAGCCGTCTTCACATCCATCTACTCAAGATGCAAATCTTCAACAGGCACAATTCCTAGCACCAATCTGATAGTGGCTAACTTCACAACTGGAGAGA